AAGAGAAATTTCTTGACAGTTAGAACAATTAATCAGTGGAACAGCTTGCTTTCAGAAGTTGTGAATGCCCCAACACTGGAAGTCTTTAAGAAGATGTTGGATAGCCATTTGTCTGAAATGATATAGGGTTTCCTGACTAGGCAGGAAGACCTCCAAAGTCCCTTCCAACTCTGCTATTCTATTATTGTATAACTTAGTGTCCTTTGAAAGTTTCTGGCTACAAAAAAGATGATGAATCCCATCATTTCCCAGTGCTCAAATTCACAGGAAACCACTGTCCTGTAGTCTCCTTGTGGGGAGGACCCATCTGGAGCACACACGGGCAATTTCTCATCCTCTCCTTTTTCTTTTTGAATCTGCTGTATCTTTCCTCTGTGCTTCCCCCCTTGTTCCATAGTACTTTTGCCACATTCTTTTTTCCTTCCCACCTTTTCTCAAAATTATAAACGTGAACTTCACTAGCAAGCAAATCCCAATCCTCCCTAAAAAAAAAAAACATTTCTTAAGCTGTTTTTATTTTCTTATTAGCACAGTATTGTAATTGGTGTTTTTTTTGGAGAAAAGTGTCTGCCTCAGGTTATTTGGTCACATAAATAGAGCTTAGGATCTCTTGCGATGCTACACCTTTTGGAGCAGAAATTGCAATATTGTGGTAATTTAACCCCAATACATTTTTTTCTTGTTGGAAATGTAATTTAAGAACACATACACGCAGCCCTAACTGCACTCTTTCACATAAAGGGAAAACCCAAATGTTATATTGGAGCAATACCTTTATAAGGGCTAATCAAAAAATCTCACAGGCTTCAAAGTTAGTGAATACAAATTCGGGATTTAGAAGTGAGTCTGCATTGCTGAGTCCGTAAAACCCACTTGCCAAAATCAATGGGTTAAGGGGGGTGGTTTGAGAATATTTCTGAATTTGAAGGTTGCAGACTGAATAAATTACTAGTAAGTGCTGCAGGTATCAGATTTTGAGTGAAAGAAGGAATGCTGATGTCATTGGTTTGGAACTGCAGAGGCCTGTTTTTGTTTTTTGTTTGTTTGAGAAAGTAAGGAGAAATCTATCATATTATGCCACGCAGTGCTACTTTATCCTTATGTTACATATGTTTAATGGCCAGCCAAAAGAATAAAACCTTTATGTACATTAAGTTGAGTGTTAAATTCAAGGAGCTACATACAGAAGTCAGTGATTTCATGCAGTGTATTTACAATTTCCCAGCTTCACACTCCTAGAGGTATTAGAATTCAACACCTACACTGGTGAGAAGTTATTATTAAAGTGCAAACACACACGGAGGGTGTTTGGTGGGGAAAGATGGTGGCATCAGATTTCTGACTCCAGGGTATTGTTTTTCATGTCCCTTCTGCCTTTAGGGTGTTATGGTTGGTATGGGCCAGAAAGACTCCTATGTGGGTGATGAAGCACAGAGCAAGAGAGGTATTCTGACTTTGAAATACCCCATTGAACACGGAATAATCACTAATTGGGATGACATGGAAAAAATCTGGCACCATACTTTCTATAATGAACTGCGTGTTGCCCCTGAAGAACATCCCACCCTGCTGACAGAAGCTCCTCTGAATCCCAAAGCCAACCGTGAGAAGATGACCCAAATTATGTTTGAGACCTTCAACGTGCCTGCCATGTATGTGGCAATCCAAGCTGTTCTCTCCCTCTATGCTTCTGGACGTACTACAGGTAAAATAATAAGTTAATTGTTTTCCTCACCATATTTTTTTCCCCTGATCTAGTAAATGCTTATATTAGGCACAGATACCATGCTGGTCTCCCTTCTCTTTCTTTTTTCAGACTACAACTACAAATCCTGTAGTGTTGTCCACGTTGGGTGGAGCTGACTTTTAAATTCAAAAGTCACTGAAAGGCATGAGGTTGCCTAATGTAACAGGTAGTCCTTGCCCTACAACATTTTGTTTTGTGACCAAAGTTCGAAGTTACAATGGCACTGGAAAAAGTGGCTTATGACCATTTTTCACACTTATAACCATTGCAGCATCCCCATAGTTGTGTGATCAAAATCCAGATGCTTGGCAACTGAGTCGTGTTTATGACATTTGTAATGTCCCAAGGTCACGTGGTCCTCTTTTGTGACCTCCTGACAGGCAAAGTCAATGGGGAAGCCAGATTCAATTAACAATCATGTTACTGGCTTAAAAATTGCAGTGATTTGCTTAACAGCTATGGCAAGTAAGGTGATAAAATGGGGCAAAAACTCATTTAAATGTCTCACTCAGCAACATAAATGTTGGGGTCAGTTGTGTTCGTAAGTTGAGGACTACCTGTTTATATGCTCTATATCTCTTAAGTGGCACTGTCTCTGAGATGCCAAACCAGTTCATTTCATTATTTGAAGCAGCTTTCCCTAATGGACAGAATTTCAATCCATTTCATGAAGGGAACCATATTTCTTCATTTAACGAATGGGTTAGAAAAATGCCTGAGGGAGTCAACTTGCCAGATGACATCTGTATAATGCAAAATTAAATTCAAAACAAAAATGTAAAATTTCAGATTTTAGCATTCTCACAGGTGATTGTGACATGGTGGTACTATTTAATGTTTTTTAAATGATACAACTCTTGGAAGTTTAATTGCCTCAAATAATTAGCATTTCTTCATTTCCTGCAAATTCCCTTGGATATTATAATGATTACAGTGACTCTCACTTTCGAGAAACTGATGCCTTAGACAGTCTGAAT